TCCCAGCGTGGTAACTGAGTTCACTGAATACAAATTGTCGAAGTGTGGGGGTGTAATATACATTTGCATACATTTGCGCCAAGGTGGAGCGGGTGAAACTTCCTCACACAACCTTCAAGTGCCTGAGGCTACACAACCCAAAAGTGGATGCCCGGAGATCTATTGCAATTCCTAGACTTATAAGACCATCAATCAGTCCCAGACACTCCATGTATGCCATATATGCCTACATTGACCCCCCAAACCACCCCAACTGATCGGCCTGATCGGCATATATGGCAGTCCCATTAGGGTCCATATCCGTCCACGGTGTCATGTTTGGAGATCCCGCAAGGTGGTGGGCTGGGTAGCCTAGAAGCCGCTGTCCCAGGCTCCATAATCCCATGTAGACCGTGAGTGTTCGTCGCCAACGACTGACGCTCCATCAAAACGCAGGTAGCACGGATGGATACCGCCAACAACTACGTCTTGCCGGAGTTTGCTCTCAAGGACAGCCATGATGACTCCCCTGACCTGCGCGGAGTTGGGAGTTGGGAGGCTGCAGATGTGGAAGTGGATCGATCCAGCATTTTTTTTGCCAATCAAGAAAGACGATGTTTGCATCCTTCCATTGTAGTGCCGCGCTTTGTTGGGCACCATCGCGGTGACGCGCCGATCCCTAGACCCATGTACAGGCTGGTATGTACTTTGCCCCCTACCCTTTGTTTCCTCGACCGTTAAAGGACTCCAGTCTGGAGGACTCTTCAACCAGCCTGGCGACGTTTTTGAGATGGCAGGAACCTCACAGCAGGCCACCACGAAACCTCCAGGTTGACTTTCTAACTCAATAGCATCCCAGACACTCCATGGGACTGGGAACTCAATACTATACATCATAGACACCCCAGTGGGGAGATACCATGGATTGGCCACTGGGTCCCATGAAGACTGGGGCGAAGTGGAGGAACTCCCGCGAGACAGCCACTTCCGACCGTGTCGTGTCGCGTGTCGACCGGACCGGTGAAGACCGGCCGTGAGGTGCTCGGTGGCCATGCACGGAGGTCCTTGGGATCCATATAGTGAAAAACGAGGTATCTCTTATAGGGGTTCTAGATGAAGAGGCAGCGTTGACCTATACTGGGTGGTGGTCTCAAACGGATTTCTGTTCAATCTTCATGTACTTGGGATGGTTGCACCCACTGACAGATCTCTCAAGTGAGTAGAGGCCACCAACGAGTAGTAGCATTCCGATCCGGAACATGCCAGGACAAGGAAAAATCCTCGAGCATTTTCTTCCGTTTGGGTCCTCAACGCTGGCGACGCTTCGCACCCAAGACGGCTCGTTTGGAAGAGCTTCCGGCGCAGATGCTGAAGTTCCTGCACCGTGCTTTGGGCAGAATCTGTCATCGGTGGGTCATCCACGATGTCGGCCTTTCGGCACAAACAATCTCAAATGACCAGGAGTCACGAAGGGGTGGTGTTTGGTCCCTATAAGTGAGTGGATAATGGGCACCCCTAATCTCCATTAAGCATTCCTTGTTGCAGATTTGTTTGCAGACGTTTGGGATGGGCAAATTTACAGGCAACTCAAGACCATACAAGGCGATGTTGGACTGCTCCCCACTCGAAGACCACTAACTTATAGAGAATCCATTGCCAGCATTTCATAGTCACTCCAGGTCAGCTTTTGGTGCATCTAAGGGGGATCCATGCATGGGAGGTGAAAGTATAGGTCTATTCTTCATTTGGAGTGGAGCAGAAAAACAATACATTGCAGCTGGGGGCCTCCTTAGTTGAAGTGACCTATCTAGCGATTGTTTAGGTGTGTGATACTTTGGGTGTGTCCCATAACCTACAACATTTGAAAAGAGTCGATCTAAATGAAAGATAATGGCCTGCAACACCATCATCAACCACTGGCCCAGGGTGCTTGGGACATACCCACCCTGCAATGGTCTTCCTGGTCTTTCCGGCCACATCCCCGTAACCATGAGGACGGAGAGAGGTGCCACGGTGCCACGGTGCACGGTCGCCGGTCGCCCAGTTCCCACTCACTCGTCGTCGAAAGCACCCCAGGCGAAATGAAAGGTAACTTCGACTTGCCCGAACGGCTGGCCTGGGTAAAAGAGGAGGCCATGGGGGAGAGAGAGAGAGAGAGAGATTGTGATTGTAGTGATCAATTTTGATGCTGAGTTCTTCAGGAGATTCAGCACATGGCTCTCCCATAATAATCTCCAATGTTCGATCAGTCACTTACTGAACCAACTATTTGAATAAACATATTGTTTGAGACATTTGCATGGGTGATAATTTAACCAAATTCCTCACGCGGATCCCAAAAGAGGATCATGGTGAATCAGGTCAGAAGAAACGTCCTACGTCCTACCATGTCCTAGATCAGTAGAAGCTCTGCAAGAGGACGCCTAGCCCTTGCAAGTTCAGGTCCGTTTTCACTCCGATTTCCTCACACGCTTTCACCCCCACTCCACGGCTCCACGGCTCGTGCCACGGAGCCTTCCCGATGGGCCGGAGACTGGGCCCTTCGCTTCCAGCGCCAGGCCTGGAAGCGGATTCGGCGGCTGAAGGCGTTGGAGAAGGACTACGAGAAGAAGATGCAGGACTCGACGTCCACGGTCGTGGGTTTCTCCCATGGCCTCTGATGGTTTTGGGGGGAGATAGGGGGGTCTAAGGCAGGGACCATGTTTTAAGACTTCTTTCTTTTTGGTGGCTCACCCCGAAGAAAAATTGCAACAACGACGCGCGCCACCTGATTTTTTCCGCCTTGGGTGGTCAAGGCGGGTTCCTTCGCTTGAGCTTCCTCCTGTTGTTTTGGGCAAACTGGTCGGTCGTTCACAAACCACCGGATTTCATGGGTCAGGGGGGAACCAGACGATCAGGACCGCTCCAGGTGCACCAGGGGGGCTGGTGCGGAGTTCTGCGGTCAAACAAAACCGACCTGTGTTCGTCAACGTGTCACAGTACGTGTGCCGGTGTGGAAGATCGGTTTAGGGGAGAAAGCACCACTCTTGGTACTGTGTTTTTGTTGCCAAACATCTGATTCAACTGTCCAAGCGGTTCTGCTTTTGGTCTCTTTTGGAGACCTGATTCAATCGTCCAACCTAGTTTGCTTCGACCTTGTGTTTGGACTTTGTACAGCGGCTGTGCTGGTTGTGTTTCAGTCAGTTCCTGTGTAAAGTACGACCACACCTGGACTCTACACACGACCTGTTTTGTTCCATTCGTTCGTGCCCCCTTGGTCCGTTCGTTTCGGCAGAGTGCCCAGGATGAATGGATGCAGAAGGAGATCGAAGAGTTTGAGCGTTACAAGCGCTTGGGGAAGTTTGACAGCCTCAATCTCTGACTTGGCTGAGCGCAAGATGATCGATTGGGTATTGTTTTGATGAAATTTGATGTATGCATGACACCGATGATATACGGATGATGACATTCCCTAAAAGCACGGTGTCTGTAAAGAAATCAACAGTCACCTTTTGGTTCCTTTTTCACTTTTTTGCAACCCAGCAATGTGGTGTTCCTTTGCAGTCACTGAGAGGGCCCAGCCCCTGCGGAGTCGCACCACGTGCTTTTGTAGTTGGCAAATGCTCAGCCATGTCAGGGAACGATGCTGCGCGCACAAGCGACCAACGGAGAAGCCCTGCGCGTGAAGAACAGTTGCAAAGGCTGCCCAAAACAAAGGGGTTCCCAGTGAATATCACTGAACATACTGTGTCCTGCCTTCAAACTGCATTCCGTCGCTGGAATTGAATCAACATATTTTTTGACCAAGATGCTTTTCACAGTGAGATGATTGCACATGTTGGGTGGACAAACAAGCTGACAAGAGTGGTTATAGACCCTAGCTTCGTGGTAGATGTCACGCCTTGCATATGGACGCAGGGGACGGGCATTCACTGTCAAAACAGTTGGCTGGTGTGATAGACTCCGGCAAAACAAACCTGAGCGATTGTCCCTTTCCAACTCATACTGTAATATTTGTTTTGGTTGGATGAAACCTAGGCCTTGCGGCAATGTGATGCATTGGAACGCCAATTGCATCAGGCTTGGGCCAAGGCGGGACCAAGCGGTGCTTTTGCTGAAGATTGTACTTTTGTTCTAGGGACATTTGGGCAAGTTCATTGTCCAGTCGTAGTATTGATCAAAATGGAGTGCTGGAATTGCCGTCTGCCTCAACGATTCCCAAAGAACACCTCCGAACACAGGCTGGACTTCAGTACTCCAATCAGCTCTGGCGTCATCACCTGATTGAGCCAGACAGCCTCGCTCCGCGCTCCGCTCTCCACGGTGCTCAGCGGCCCAGGCAGCCTTCAAGGAGGAGCCCACAGGCACCGCTGATTCGGGGGCCCCACCCGTGGACGGACGCCCCAACCCGGACGGCCCAACACCCGGGTGCCCGGGTGCGGTGCCGCAGGGACTGGCAAAGACTTGGTCGCTTGCGTGGACAGCGTGGGTGCCGATGCCGCCCGGGAGCCTGGGCCAAGGCGGCAAGACGCCGATGCCAAAACCTGTAAGGGGTTGGATTTTGGGGTTTGGAGGATGGTTTATTGGTTGACTGCTTTGCTTCCTTGTTTGGTCCGCTGTGCTACCCGAATTTTCAGATGAAGACCTCCGTTTCCATAGCTATAGAGGAGCCACGTGGTCTTCACAATGGAGGAATCCAATGAGTAGCCCCAAGGATGCGTGAGAATAGCAACTCAGTTTCATGGGCTTAGGCTTGCCACAAAATGTGGAGATCAAAGTTAGAATGGTTTTCGGACCTTTGTTTCTTCCTGATTATAGACATGCAATATGATCATAAGGCGTGTATATAGTATATTAATGTGTGTATTTATATATAGACCATGGTCTCCAGGTAAAGCCGCATCAGCACTTGATCCGAAGTGCAGCTCAGGTGGAAAGTATGCTCCGTGCTGAGTCAGTTGCCATGCGCACTGCACCTTGGTGGTGTTCAGGATCGGAACCTCACTCTGATCCCCAGCTGGTCACGGAATATGGATTTGGAAGTTTGTGCGAGACATGGTTGGCAAGGTGCGAGGACCTCTAAAAAAGGGTCGTGAACTGTCGCGAATTCAGATTCAAAGATTGGACACCCAACAGTCCGGGGAGTGGAAAACCATGGAACACCCCAATTCTGTGTCAAGGTGTTAAGTTTCCCCAAACACTGTGGTCACACTCGGGGTTCTTACGGGGGTTCTTACGCTGGGGGTTATGGTCGATCGTAACTTGGGGTTCTTATCACCGGAAAGCTTCGGCTTGGCTTTCGGAAGTGTATCCCTTCGACGTTCGGCTCCGGGCACCGGCAGGGCTGCGGCCGGCGCAGAGCATCCGGGAACCTCCGGAAGCTCCCAGGAAGGACGCTACGAACGGGGCGAACAGGGCATCCTAACGAACGGAGCAAAGGGCATCGCTACTAATTAGAACAAGGATGCTAAAGAAGACCATATCCATGCTCTCACCTGTGTCCTGGGTCCTTTGGGTGTGCTCCATTCGAGCACTCTTACCAGTGTGCTCCAAGAGCGCGCTTGCTCATGTTTGTGTGCTCACATACTTGTGCTCTCATACCTGTGGCTTCGTATGTGAACTCTCAAAGGCTCTCATGTGCTTGTTCTCATTTTTGTGTTCCCATGTGAGTGCTATCAGATGTGTTCACTAAGACGCGTTTTCTTGTATGTGTCTTTTCTGTGTCCCAAATGTGTGCTGTTATTTGTGTGCTCTCATGCGTGTGCTCGAATATGCATGCTGCTTTGCCCATGCCCATGCTGTGTCTAAAGGCTGACGAACAGCCTGATTGAGAGAGGGAGGGTAAGATGCCTATATAGTATCCCCCAGAACATGCTGCTAACATCCCCTTTCGCTGAATGCAGCCAAGGCCATTCGCTTCTACGACGCCAGCAGCAAGTCATCGTTCCGCGGGGAATGAGATCGGATGGACCATGACGACCTGTCAATTCGCGACAAGATGAACTTTCAATGTTCTTTTGGGGGTGGTTGTTTAGCACGAGCCAACAGGTCAGGTGGATAAGGTTAACCGGGTTTTTTCATGGGGTTTTCACCTGTAAACTTCCATGAATATGTGGCTTGGGGAGTCACAGGAGTCGGTGCACCAGTTCATCAGTTCGGAGGCGCTGCTTCGTCCGGTCCGCCCCGATCTGTTTGAATCAAGTGGAACACCTTCCGAAGCAGCCACCAAACGAACCACATGTTTAGCAGTTGGTATATTTCTAGATAGGGCTCCTGGCCCATCTCCTCAGAAAAGTGGTTAGGCCCCCCTGGCATCCACCCCAACCATCTTCTCAGGAGGTAGGTGGGCCAGGAGCCCTAGGGATAGCAGACGATTCTTCCAACGGACCATGCGATCCACTTCCGATTTCGGGGAGTGTGTGGTGCTCTTGATGTGGTTCGTTGGTCGGTCCCGTCCCAGGTCTTTGGACTTCGGTAACAAGACGGATTAGGATGATTAGGAGCCATGGTTACTTGGAATAGCTTGGTTGGGGGGTTGTAATGGGTACTTCTAGTACGGGGTGCGAATCAAACACCTATAATATATATATATATAGCTTGAAAGCTTGAGTGATGTATTAGCAGCTGGACCACCGGTCCCAAACTTGCCACCAACTCTTCTTGATGTAGATCACCGGTTCGCCTACGACGACAAGTGCTCACACATCCCGAATCCCCTAACCAAGGCAGTCACAGTCAATTTTCTTAATTTGGAGACAGCTGATCCTTACAATGTGAGAGTTTGACATGGTCCCGTGCAAACTCATGGAATAGCTCACGTCGGCCTCGCCGGCCGACCCCTATTGGCTCAGTGGGAAAGAGCAGGAGTTGGCTGTTGAGTCTCAAAGCAAGTCATGAGCCTGCCAACGCCAAAGTTGGTCTTTTTCGGAGTAACCAAGTTGCTCCAAGCGCACCGAGGGCCAGGTTCTCCAGCAGCCGCCCCTGCATACACTGTTCGACCGGATCTGCGATGGCCCCCCAAGCATCTGAACATGAACGTAGACGTAGCAGCTTTCTTTCCAATAGCGATGGCCTAGTAGCGATGGCCGGAGCGGCCTAGCAGACCGCGATGGCCTCCAACCCCAAAAAGAGCACCAAAACAACCAGGAAAACTTGAAAAGAATGACAAACCCCAAGAGATGACACCAACCCAACACACGTCACTCCTCCGGTCGCACCCCCAAAACCGTCGTCCCCCGGTCTCATCGCATGGGAACGTTCTGCACATGAGCCGGCGAGCCCAGTGGACTGGGGGGAGAAGCCGGGTGTGCGTGTGTCGTTTGGATGGTTGACCGTATATTTTATCGGTATCATATGGTATATAGCATGCAGAAAAATATGGTTGCATTTACATTTAGTAGAACCATCATGAATCATCCTACCAAAGGTTTGTAGCCTAATTACACCATACCCCACAAGTCCAAAGACCCAGTAAACCCTGGTCATTTACCTCCATATGTATTGGTCTTGTATGACCATCTGGTCTTTGACTTGTAGGGATAGGTTACCTTGCAAGGGTGCCAGAAAGATCCGGAAAGCCTTTAGAACTTTGCTTTGGATTTCCAGAAGGAAAAATACGGCCATGATCTCCACCTTTGTCCTACACACTATCTTGCTCACTTGGCAAGGAACCGAAAACGAGCAAACCGCCAGGTGCCCGGCCATGTGTTGCCAGCCAATCACCAGACCAGACGTTCAAAAATACACGGAGTCTGGGTGAAGCAAGTCATTTGAGAAAAAAAATGAACACCAGCCACCGAGAATGAGCGTTGACATCTCCAAGCACCTCCCACCAACACCCGGCATTTCTCGCAGATCGCTCACAATGTCCACCAACCCAGGTCCTCATGTGGTGCTGCTGCCGTCGACAAAGGCCATGATGCAAAGCTGGAGATGTGTTGGGACGCAACCGATCATGCCGAGACAACCAATGGGCCTGGAATATAGGTTAAAGACCGACGTTGACCCAAATGACTCTACCACGGTATAGACGGCAACCGAATAGACACATTGACCATCAGCCCTCAAAACACCTGAACAAATCAGCCGAATAGATGTGCAACATTTGCCCACATTCTGTGTGTAGGAGTGTTTGGTTAGTGTGGGGAGCTCAGTAGGGGAGCTCCAGACCTGCGCATCGCCAGACCTGAGAGCTCCAAGGAGTGACCCTTTGCGACCGCAGTCGCGACGACCGTGAAAGGTGATCACCGATGAAACATGATAAAACGCCACTAGGGGCTCCTGGCCTTATTACTAGGAGCAAGGACGCTACTAGGGGCTCCTGGCCTTACTACTAGGAGCAAGGACGCTACTAGGGGCTCCTGGCCCTACTACTAGGAGCAAGGAGGCTACTAGGGGCTCCTGGCCTTACTACTAGGAGCAAGGCCGCTACTAGGGGCTCCTGGCCTTACTACTAGGAGCAAGGACGCTACT